CAAGGGAGATAAGCACACCACAATCTCTTCTCCTCCATTCTCCTCCTGGGATTCTGGGCATGCACTCACATGCACCCAGTGTGAGTTTCAAGCCACCGGATCTGGGACTGAGTCCGAAACTCGAACCAAGGTCGACCATGTGCAAGTCCAGTGATGTACCACTATACCATCTGCTGGCCCCCTGTTTCAGTATTTTAATCAATGACACTAAAAAAAATTAAAATTCATTGGTGGCTTTTGAAAATTCTAGGGAACCAACTCAGTATTTTCAGAACTCATTTAAAAATAGGAGAGGAAAATTTTGTCTTTCTTATATAAACTATAACACAGGGTAATCAAATTGTTGATGACTATAAACTTATTTTATAGATGTATTATGAATAGGGCTCATCTTATGGCCTAGTAGTTAAGGGGGCTGGATCCCACATAGCCAACAACATAGTTCGAGTCTTGGACCTGGTGGCTGATAAATCATGCTGGGCAGGGGCATGTTTATGTGTGTGCCCCAAATCCCGACAGGGTGAACAAATGGAGCAGAAAGGATTGCAGGGTAACCACACCCTATTGGGGAGAGCACTTGTTCTCCCTCTCCATCTTTCTGTCTCTCTCTGATGAGTACAAGTGCTGACAAAATTTTTTTTAAGTATTATTATGAATAATAAATAAATGAAATGCTAGAATTTTAAAGGCACAATTCTATAACCACTGATGAAATCATGGATCCAACCTAAGCAATGCCTATTAACATCACAGTAAGACACAGATCAGACACTGTGTTCTTCACCAATATAAGTAGACACTATAAAATAGGTAAACAATTCAGATATAAATCTCATCCAGCCTCTGAATCTGGAGTTGGACATTTTTTTTTCTTAGAGAACCAAATATTTGAGGTTTAGGGGTCACATGTTTCTGGTGCACTACCCAACTCTGCCCTTGTCGCTTGAAAAGTAGTCACAGACAATTTGTAAACAAATGTGAACAGGTCAGCTTAAGGTTTAGCAAGACGGCAGCCATTCTGAAATCAAGAAGGGTCTCTAGCAAGAACAATCTGACTAAGTGCTGAGTCACAGGGAGGTCTGAGGAATAGTCAGATGGGATACCAGGGATGAGTATTTGAAGAAAACAAGAATCAGGACAAGGCAACTGACTGAAGGGAGGAATGATTTGCCCCTGCTCATACCTGTAAATATGGAGCATGTGCTGGATTTTTAGACAGTTTGCTGGTGCTTGCTGATTATCTCCCTAGAACTTGGTTGCAGAAATAAAATTCTTTTCCAGCCTCCACCTCTGTTTCATTGAATGCAAGGAGAAGCAGGACATAGTTTACCAGTAACAAATGGGCACAACTGTGATACAGTAAAACTTTGTGTGAAAAAGCAAGGCCTTAGTTTGTTAATCCTCCCATAGAAGCTAGCTCTAACTTCCAACTTATAGGAAATACAGAGAAATAACATTACTTGTGCATGTTTCAACTTTTATATTAATTATTGTTTTATTTTATCCTTAAGTCAACAGAAATTGCATGCACTCACAGAGAGAGACAGAGAGAGGAGAGAGAAATCATGCCCTAATGGGGCATGCTCATGTACAATCCCTTCTCCATTTCTCCATCCTGTCAGGATTTGGGGCATGCAAGGTCAAGGGCCTGTTGCATTTTTAATTCACTGGGGTCTGAATTCAAACCACTGTAAGTCATGTGAGATTCAGCTCTCTTAACCACTAGGCTAGAGAACTGACTCATGTTTTCTATAATGAAAGGTAAGTAAAAAACCAACACAAAATATACCTCACATTCAGTGGCAGAGATGGAAAAATGTAGGTGTAGAGGAAGAAAAACAGGTTTAGTTTGCTGAAGCGGAAAGTCCCTTGGAATAATTACATGGCATTAGATTGATGGGTTTTAAGCTGTATGTTATGTTCCTTAATATTAGAATCAAAAGCAAGCTGTAGCAAATCAGATGTTCTCTTATGTCTCTGAGTAACTACATCACCTCCTAACTCCCTCAGAAGGGAAAGAATTCAGGTGCACAAGGGCTTGGGGCAGAGGGCCTAGGGCACGGGTATTTGTTTCCTCATCTGTAGGCTCCTTCTTCCTTGTGCAGGGCTTGGTTTCTCCAGAGATGCCAATGCCCATTTGATAAAATTTAGCCCTTCAGGTCCCCTGGCAGCTAGGGTTGGCCATGTGATCTAGTTCTGGCCAATGAAATGTAAGTGGGAATCTAATGGTTAGGGCTTCCAGAAAATATATGGTTTTCTGTATTAAAAGGGACAACTTCAGAAAGTATAGTTGTTCTATCTTATTATTGCCTGGTGTAACTGTAGGGCCTTTTAGTAGTGGACACGTTGTAACCCTGAGGACGAAAACACAACATAACGAGAGTGGGGGGTGTCCCCCCAGCCTGTGGAGGACAGAGAGAGAGTGAACCTGGGACATCATAGAGTCATGGCCACAGGTCTGGAATACCTACCTGCATTTCATATTACATGAGGAAGATAAATCCCTCCATGGTTAATCCACTCTAGTAAGGCTTCCATTGCATGCGGCCACCATAACTGGACACTAGTATCTTGAAAACCCCAGATCCAAAATTAAATCCCAGATCCCCTCTAACCTTTTTTCTTATAGGCTTTTGGGGAATCAATAAATGGTAACACCTGCTTTATTCCAACACACAGTCTCAACTCTCTTCCCTCCCTTGCTCCAAATTCCATTCATCAGCCATGCCTGCTGGGTCTACCTTAGCAGTGTTTCCAGAATAGAATCACTTCTCAGTAGCTCCATCACTACCACCCTGGTCTCGGGTGACCATCATTCCTTAAGTGGTCTATTTCAGTGGCTTTTCACTAACCCCCGGCTTCAACCTTAGCCTCATACAGTCTATTCTGTACCATCAATCACAAGGTTCCTGTCAGAACTGAGTCTCATCATGTCAATCCTTTGTCCCAAACCCCAAATGCCTTCTCATCTCACTACAGATAAGACTGCCCATGGGTCATCAGTTCCTAGTTGACTTCACTTTCTGTAGCTCTCTTCCTCATTCACTCAGCTCCAGTCTCTTCCTTGACATTCCTGGAATGGACCCAGAGGGCTTCTGTTTCAGGTTTTCCTCTGTGCCCCCTTTGCTCCCTGGGATGGACCCTCTTACAGATGTGCACAAGGCTCACTGCCTCACTTCCTTCAGCTCGCTTTTCAAATTCACTGGACCAGAAAAGCCTTCCAGGCTGGTCCTTGGCTTATTCATACTCATCTTTCTTGTCATGTGAGTTCCAGGGAATTGTATTTCCTGGGCTCCCTTGCTCCTGGATTCTGGTGAGTTCAACCCATGGGAAGTGAAAGAATGAAGGCAGAAAGGAACGAAGAAGCTAAAGGCTGTGTCTCTCTTCAGGGTATCTTTGGCAACCAATGAGTAGTCTCTGGGAATCCAGATCCCACCAAAAACATTCCATCTGTGGTCCAAGTTCCTGATGGCACACCTAGCTTGGCTCTGGCTTCTACCAAGAGGCCACAACATCTGGGCCCAGTAACATCACTACCTTCTCTTGCCAGTTCTGCAGTTGCTAATCTCTCAGTTACCTGCTGTCCCTTCTGGGGGTTTTCAGCTCTTACATCTCCTATAGAGTCAACTCCCTACACTAAATCCTTTTGTTGAAAACAGCAACGACTCCTGACTAGACTTCCCAATAGGCCTTCTATGATTATTCTTTCCTAAAGAAAAGCAGCTCTTGCTCCCGTCTCTATCACAGGATCTGCTAACATCTGATAGAACATGTGTCTATTTCTTCCTTTCTTTCTTTTTAAGTTTTTTTTACAGGGTTTTGCCACAGGGCATATGTGCTCACCTGAGAGAGACAGAGACAGTAAGAGGGCAAGAGGAAAAGTGAGAAATCATTCCCCGGGGGGATAGCCATGCTGTAATCCCTTACTCTCCATTCTCCTCCCAGGATCTTGGGCACTCATACACATGCACCCAGCATGATCTTTTAAGCCACCAGGTCTGGGACTAGAACCACAGTTAACCATATGGGAGTCCAGTGATGTAACCACTATGCCATCTACTGGCCCCAATTTGTTCCTCAATTGCCTCGTTCTCTACTGGAATATAAACATCATGACACCATAATTTGTCTTTTTGATCACTGCTGGACACCCACAGTGTTCAGAATGGAGTGGTAATAGGTGCCTGCTTTAGCCAAACTGACTCCATCTTGTTAATTAAGAAAAAAAAAGCTTTTTTCTCTCAGCATGATACTGCTTCTTTGAGATCTCTCTTAAGAACTTCAAGGAGAAAAATGGTAACTTGAAGCTTGAAATAATGAGAGACATTCTGCCTTAGGGAACCAAAATCCTTAAAGATGAATTGCTTGATTGTACCACCTACCACCCTGCCCCTGCTCCAGCTAAAAATTAACCTGATCTTTGCTTTTCTATAGATAGTTATTAGTTCCATAGCATCCCCCTTCCCCTGTAAAAGCATCTGTAGTTTGGTTGAGCAGTAGAAGATATTTTTACATGTCTTCCCGGGATAATCACACTGTAATAAGTTCTCCTTTCCTCTGTCACCAACAACTTTGCCCCTTAGTGCCTTTTTGTGTGGCAAAGGGTCAGGTTAGCTTTGGGTCTCTGGACTGAAACATAGTGCCCCTCATGTGGGGACAGGGTCTGGCCAGTGGTAGGTGTTCACACACAGGAACAAACTGATGCTCTTTCATTACTAGATATTGATAAGCACCCTCTCTGTTCTAGGTACTTGACCCAAAGATAGAGTAGTGAATATCTAAAGCTTTCTTGGTAAGATGATTAAGATCTTGGCCACAGGAAGGAGTGGTAGTGAGGACTCAGCCCCTCTGTGTCTGGGTACATTTTCGTTACCTCTGTAACTTGTGGTGATTGCAAAACTAAGTGGAAAATCAGTCGTACTGCAATGGAAGCCCAGAAGAGGGGATCAACTCCATCGTTTATGTGAGTCAGACTTCCGAACAGGGGAAGAGACACTCACCTGACCTGGAGTGGGATCTTGGGCACCTTCTTAGAGACCTTGAACTGGGTTCTGTCTCCATAGGTGTCAGTAAAGTACACTCCAGCCACGCTTGTCACCTGGTTTCCGGGGAACCCAGACAGCACCTTGTCCCGGCCGTGCTGACTGGCCCAGTACCAGGCCTGGCCCCCGATGAGCAAGCCCCCTCCACGTTTCACAAACTGGATCAGCTTCTCAACCATGGTGCCGCTGTAGGCATTCACGCAGTAAACCCCCAGGGGCTCTCTCGGTTCTGGGCCAATCTGTGCCTCAACCCCAGAGGCCTGCAGGAGGCTGACTAGAGATGCCAGGGATGGGTGCACTCCAACCACAGCCCTGGGGGAGGGGCAGAGCCAGCCCACCGCATTGAGAAGAAATGGAGCCAGGCCGGCGTGCAGCAGGTAGCCCTCGTGGGCCAGGACCACCAGGCGGCCTTGGCCGTAGGAGGAGGCAGCGATGAGCACCTGACCCTTGTCATTCACCATCACCGGGAAGGCGGCCTCTCCAGTGAGAAGGAGCTCACTAGGAATGGGGCCGTTGGGGATGTCCCATTTTGTCACTCCATCCATGAGGGCCTCAAAAGCAGCAGCAGCTGAAGTTGTCATGGTTTCGTTAGTGGCTGCAAAAGAAAGCAGACTCAAGCTGGTCAGCACAGACGAAGGAATGAGTGAGAAAAGCAAGAACTAAAAACACTCACCCCGTTTCATTGGTTTCCCTACTTCTAGCAACTGGGGGTACGGCAAGGAACAAAACCAACCAGGTACCTACGGTCATGAGCTGAGTATATTAGAATGGGAAAGACAATGGATAATAGGTAAATAGATACACAAACGTAGCATGAATAACTGCTACGATGAAATTACAGCATACAGGCATGCTGGGGAGTGATGAGCAGTCTAGAAGACCACTTCAGGACGGGTGACAGGAAGGCCTCTGTGAGAAGCAACATGGAGGCTGAAACCCGAAATGCTGGAGGAGCTTGCAGCAAGTACGTGCATCAGCATGGCTGGAGCTGGAGTCGAGGTGGTGCCAGGCCCTGCAGGGCCTGCCAGATCAAAGTCAGAGTTAAGCTGAGGTGCTCTTGACTCAGTTGACTTAGTGTTTTATTTCTTTGGGCAGAAAAGTCACCTGATCTGTCAGAAACTGCATTTGTTCTGGCAGTTTTGACAAGGTGCAAATGCCTCCTCACCTACTGCATCTGCCCTAATGTGGACACCCCCACCTCTGGGTAGTGTTCTGTAGTTTCAGGGGGGCTTTTAAAATTCGATGGGTCTGGAACTAGCAGATGGCATAATGATTACGTTGCTGGACTCGCACATAGTCGACCACAGTTAGAGTCCCAGACCCGGTGGCTTAAAACTCATACCGGGTGAGTGTGTGTGTGTGCCCAGGATCTCAAGAGAATGGACCAGAAAGGATTGCGGCATGGCCATCCCCCTGGGGTGGTGATTTCTAGCTTTCTGTCTCTCTGTCTCTCCAGCGAGTTCACATGCTCTATACCAAAAAACAAATGATGGGTCTAAAACTGAGCTTGTTGCTCCCTCCAAAACAGACATAAATTAACTCTGCCTGTTTCCTTATCTGTAAAAGGAGAACAGTACAGCCCCTTCAAGATGGTTTCTAAAGATTAAGGCACATAAAAGCACCTGGTCCAGGCTCAGGTGCACATGCAGTGAGCCCTGAGGACAGGACAGGCAGTGGCAGTGAGGGTGCTGCTTCCCTCAGCCCACCCTTGCCCGCAGGGGCAGCCATGGAGCGCTCTCCTCCATGAGGAGCACGACTGCTTCCTCACCTGCATGGGTACACAGGGCAACCTTAGGTGCTGGTGTGTGGTCATCCCTGGGAGGGTTCCCCCTGGAGGAGGGAGGTGGGGCTGGTCAGAGGCCCCTGGAGTCCAGCTGCCCAGTGCTGGCCCGCTGGGCCACCTGCTCTCCTAGCCTGCCCTCCCTCCTGTGTCATTCTCCCCTTTGCTTCCCCCTGTCTGAGCTCACTTCCTGAAGAAACCACCTGAAGGGAAGTCCTGTATTGGCTTTTGGTTTTGGGGAGAATGGAAACAGAGACAGATACCAATCCTTTGAGCTCCATTTGCCTCCTTCCTTCTCTACTCCTGCGTCCATAGACAGCCACTTCATCCACGCCTCTTCTTGGACAAATCCCTCGAATATCCTCCGTGCCATCTACGTTCCTGTCTAGACAAACCTGACCGGGTTTTACCTCGCAGGATATATTCGCATACACGACCTTCCTCAGTAACAACTCTGATAACCCTCACACCACCATGAGGTGACATTCGCTGAACGCCTCACCTGGTCTGTTTATTTTTAAGAGAGATTTTTGCTATAGGGTGCATGTACTCTCTGGGGAGGCAGAGACAGACAGAGAAAGTGAGAAATCACTCCCCAAGGGGGGTAGCCACAGCGCTATCAATTCTCCTCCATTCTCTAGAGATTTTCCTCATGTACACACACACGCCTGGTGTGTTTTTATAATTCTGCTCCCAAGAAAGAGCAATCATGAAAGGGAACAACTCCCACCAGAACCACAGACCACGTGTGGGATCTGGGCTCCCGGGCTAGCAGTGGCAAAGGCAGGGAGAGATGAGGAAGCCTGGTTCCAGATCCTGCCAAGGGCCTCTGAGAGACAAGCTTAGTTTCAGTCCTAAGGCCTTCCTACAGACAGGAAGGAAAACAAGTCGTCTGTCCCAGAACACAGACCCTACCTCTGTAACCAAATGCGCGCGAGGGGACACACGTACACGCGCGCGCACACGCATGAACGTACGCGCCTATCTTTGTCAAAAGCCTGACTCTGCAAGTTCCAAGAAGGGAGAGAAATATGTTTAGAAACAAACAGCGAAAAGCTCCCGGGCGAAGAACCGAACCGAACCGAAACGAAACGAAAGCCTAAGGAAAGAAGGGGCATTCCGACTGCCGGGAAGGTCCTGCGACACGCCCCTGGCACACTGGGACAACCCCGCCGTCCCCCGGTGCTCGGCCACCCGCTTCCACCCAGGCCGCGCTGGGATTGAACTCACGCCTCGTAGCGGGGTCCCCGGGGAATGGCTCTGCAGAAGTGCGCTGGGGCTCTCCGGAAGCCGGGTGAGGTGCGGGCTCTGCCGGGCGGGGCGGGGG